GGGCCTGGAGGCTAAGGCTGGTTACTCACCATTGGAGCTGAGGCGGCTGCAACTCTCAGGGGAGGTGTTAGCACTCCATTCCGGGGAGGGCTCTGGCTGTGAAGTCGAGGTGGGCCGTGTGGCCTTCCCCCTCAGGATGTCGATGACCTGTAGGGCCCTGGGGTCACCATCAGGCCACTCCTGCCCTCGGCCCTCCCTTGTCCTTGCGCCCTGTCAGTGACCACGGTCTGCAGGTGAGGGCCTCTCGCTTGCTCATTACGCAAAGGTAGAGAAGGCCCTTCCTTGCTTTGTGCCTCAGTTTCCCTTATCTAGAACTCGCCCCGGCACACTCCAAGGCTCGCCCACACGCCTGCACACCCTGGCACAGACCCTGTCCTACACACCTCTGCACCCCCACCTCGCCTGTCACACGCACGTGCTAACACGCATGCTCACGCGCCTCCCCAGCCCGCGCCCCAGGGCGCGCACTCACCCGGCGGCTGCGCGCCACCATGAGCGGCGTGTCGTTGTGACAGTTCTTGAGGCCGCTGTCGGCGCCGCTGCGGACCAGCGTGCGCACGAGCGGGAGCAGCCCGCGGCCGGACGCCGAGTGCAGCGCCGAGCTGCCGGAGTACATCTGCGCGTTCACGTTGGCGCCGTGCTGCGGGGCAGGGCGGGGCGTGTCAGGAGCCGCACCTGCCCGACCCTCCACCCGAGTCCCACCTCCTGCGGGGTGCACCCGGGCAAGGTCGGCGTGCAGGGAAAGGTGGGGCCGGAGTGAGGGGCGGGGGAGGATGCAAAGGCTGGGGACCCGGTCCAGGGTCAGAACGCACTGAGCGGGTGGTGCAGTCTGCCAGAGCTAGACTCCCGGGCTGTGCCGTAGTAGGGCGCAGTCTGAGAAGGGAAGGGTCCAGGTTCTGGGCTAAATCGTGTCTGGAGTCAGGGCGGGCGGGTGGACCGACAGCCAGAGACAGGGCCACAGCCAGAAGGCAGGGTCAGCCAGGCCATGGCAAGGCGAGCCTTGACCATTAGAGAGCAGGGAGGGGATGGGAGATGGCCAGGACCTTCGCAGCCAGGGCGCGCGGCTGGAGGGTGTAGAGCGCGAGGCTTAGAAGGGTCAGAGCTGCAAGCGGAGCAAGAGCCGGGACCGAACTGGAAGGCTGGATCTGCGCCCAGGGCGGGATTTGGGGGGCGACAGCTGGGTTGGGGTCAGAGGAGGGGGCGGGCAAGAAGCCAGGGCGGGGGTGCACCCACCTGCAGCAGCAGCTGCACCATGCTAAGGCTGTTGTTTTCCACTGCGTGGATGAGCGGGGAGCGGCCACTCTTAATGTCCTGCGGCGGGGGAGGGAAAGTCTGAGTCTCTCCAAGCCCTGCCCAAACAGCCGGCGGCCCCCATGCTATCCCCACGCTCTCTCTCCGGTTGACACTTCAAGTCCCACCCCACCTCACCGGGCGCGCGCCCCCACCCCTCCCTGCTCGTCCTGCTCGCTCTCGCTCACCACCGCGTCGATGTCCGCGCCGCGCTCCAGCAAGAGCAACACGGCTTCGTGGCATTCAGTGTTCACTGCCACGTGCAGGGCGGTGAGGCCTGAAGGACAGGGAGGCTCCGTCAAACCTAGGCCTGGTGCTTTGCGGGCCGGATGGACTCCGGGTTCCGCCCGACCGCCCCACCCACCTAGTTCCGCAGTAGGTACTCACCGTCGTAATTGCGGGCTTCCAAGTCCACGGTGCCCGGGGCAGCACTGTCCAGCAGGGCCCGCAGGCAGGTCGGGCTGCGGTGCTCGCACGCCAGGTGGGTGGCTGTCTGGCCATGGCGGTCCAGTGCCATGGGGCTCGCGCCAGCTGTCACCAGGAGCCGGACCACAGACGGCAGTGTGGTGATCACCGCCAGGTGGAGTGGTGTCTGGGAAGGAATGAGTGTGAGGAACCTAGTCCTGTTGCTCTCAGGTTCCCAGCTGACGATTTACCCAGGACAGAAGTCTGGGGCGCCTCCTCCCTGGGATTCTAGAGTCAGGGCCTTCTCCCGTTTCTCCCTAGGATCCAGTAGTCTGGGCCTCCAACCTCTGCCTTCCCTACTTAGGAGTGGAAATCCTTAGGTCCCCTCCTTCCCAGAAACTAGGGACCTGGAGCACCTCCAGCTTAGACAGGCCCAGCAGTCCGGCTCCCAGCCTCACCTGCCGCAGGTTGTTGTAGATGTCTAGCTCCCGGCCCCCCTGATGGAAGAGGCTGACCAGCCGGTGCACCACGGGCAGGTTACCCTGCACCACCGCGATGTGGAGAGGCCTGGGGGAAGACACAGGGCAGAGCCATCACAAGCAGTCGGGCTGCACACCTCTGTCCCCATGCTGCCGAGCGCTAATACTGACACCTGTCACAGGCATCAGAAGTACATGCTCCTTGACTTACGATGGGGCTTTGTGCAGATAAACCCAAGGGAAGTTGAAAATGTCATAAAATGCAGTTCACTCACTAATCGGGATGTGGACCCAATGTGTATTGCTTTCGCACCGTCATTAAGGTGCGCCCAGGAGCATCCCCAAATCCAGCTACTTCTCCCCATCCACACCCGGTCCACCCGGTCCAGCCCCCATTCCTCCCTCATGGACTATTATTATAGTCCTCTCCTCAGTGGCCTTCCTGCTTCCGTCCTTGCCCTGTGACTGTCCCCCACACAGCAGCCAGAGGGACCCTTTTAGAACCAAGGTCTGGCCACCCTCCAAGTCCTCCCTGTAACCCGCTGTGATCTTGTGGTCTCTTCAATCCGCTTGGACGCTCCTTGCTGAGTTCCTCAAACACGCCTGTGGGGCCTTTGCACTGGCTGTCCCCTCTGCCCAGACGGTCTTCCCCAGATATCTGCAGCGCCTGCTCCCCTCATTGGGGGAGCTGCTAACATGGTATGGCAGCTGCTCACTCTCCACCCCCCAGGTTTGGGTTTATTTTACTCCGCATTGTCCCCCGACACATTGTAAGGGTCGCTTGTTTCCTGTCTGACTCTCCCCCAGAGAGTGGAGCATGTCAGCTCCCTTAGGGCAGGGCTTGCTTCGGTCCCTGCCTGCCCTGCTGAGCCAGTGCTCCCGAACATGCACTGAATACACGAATCCATTCCAGTGCTCATGCAGACCATGCCTGAAGACGGGGACCACCCCCACCCCTCCGGGCATTAGTTTTCTCATCTGTGAAATGAGGGGCATGAACTAGATGCTACCATGGTCTCTGCCACCTGCCAGCTGACGGTCAGACTCAGCCCTGAGAAGCGCCTGTCACTTTGACAGAAAGGGAGGTGGGGACAAACTGGAACAGGCCGTGGTTCTAGATCCTGGGCCGAGCAGCCTAGAACCCTCTTCTGAGCAGCCCAGAACCCTCTTCCAGACTAGAAAGGCTGGGACCAGAGTTAGCGTAATGGCTGTGTCGCTGGACTCCCATGTAGTTGACTGCAGTTCGCGTCCCGAACCTGGTGGCTTAAAACTCACGCCGGGCATGTGTGCGTGCGTGCCCAAGATCCTGAGAGGAGAATGAAGGAGAAGGGATTGCAGCGTAGTCATCCCCCGGGGGGTGATTTGTTGCTTTCTGCCTCTCTGTCTCTGTCTGTCTGGTAAGCGCACGCGCCCTATAGCAAAAGCCTCTATTAAA